ATCATTTGCAAACCGGAGGTAGCCTCAATGGTGCTGTCCTCGTGGGGCTCTCTGTACAATGCAGTTTGCTGGAGTTGTAAAGCATACTCCAAGTCCCACAGCACGTCGCCCATGCTAGGTCGATCCGCACTATCTTCCTGGAGACATTTCTCTACCGTCTCTGCAAATTTCCTCAATGAGTTGGGATTGATCTCACCCTTTATCGATGGATCCACGATCGTGTCAAGCAACCCTTTTCGGTGGCAGAGAAGTCCCCATTCCGCTAAGTTCACCTGTTCCATTGGAAGCTGGGGATCTTTACTAATAATAACCGGTCTTGCACATAGCACCTCAAGAAGCACAACGCCAAAGGAGTAAACATCGGATTTCTCAGTTAATTGTTGTGTTTGGAAGTATTCAGGATCGAGGTAACCAAATGTGCCTTTGATCCCTGTGTTTACATGGGTTTCGTTCAACGGAGCTGACTTGGAGAGCCCGAAATCTGCAACTTTGGCGTTGAAGTTTTCATCAAGCAGAATATTTGTCGTCTTGATATCACGGTGGATGATTCCTCCGGTGGAACCTTTGTGGAGGTAATTAAGGCCACTGGCTGCACCGATGCAGATTTGAAGCCTCTGTTTCCAGGACAAACAAGGCAGCTCTGTGTTGTAAAGATGATCCCGCAGTGTCCCCTTTTCCATGAGTTCATAAACCAGTATCATCTCAAACCTTTCATCACAGTATCCAATCAGGGAAACAAGATGACGGTGGCGAATCTTCGATAGGATCATGATTTCCGTTAGAAATTCATCAAACCCTTGGCCCGACCCTGGTTGACTCCGTTTCACAGCAACTGTCAGGCCGTTTTTGAGTTGTCCTTTGTAAACATTTCCGAATCCACCCCTTCCGATCACCAGCTTCTCATCAAAATTGTTTGTAGCGGACTGAATTTCGGCAAAGGGAATTCTTAGGCCGAGGTTCAAATTTGGGACCTGGGAGACATTGATGGTTCTATCGGTCCCTTTGCTATCGGAACTGCCGCCGCCGTGTCCACTGAACAGCGACCAAACTGAAGTTTTAACAGATGTTCTCTTCCTCTTCTTCAAAACAATAAACAACCCAACTGCCAAGACACAAACAAGTAGACCCCCAACAACAGGACCGACCACAAGGAAGACAGTTTTCGTACTTTTATCTGGCTTGATAACTACACTTGATTCACCCATGATATCCATTATCTCCACTCCATTCAAAAACGCAGTAAATTGCTCCGGAGAATCTTTCGAAGGACCAATGCAGACATTCATAACCCCCGACTCATCAGAATCAACTACAAAATCCACGTAAAACGGTGACCCCACGTCACCAGCTTTTTCATAAGGATCGATTTTCTGAGGGAAGATGCTATTAAGGTACAAGTTGAATGTAATGCTACCCGTTGATGTACCAACAATGTCACAGAAATGAACCCGAACAAAATGGCTAGAATTCTTAGACACAATGAAGGACCACGTCACATTGGATGTGTTTGAGA